AAACTATAACTACTAACTGAGATATTGGTATACCCAAAATCCATCAGCCGCCACTGGTCCAAACTTAATATACCTAAATTATATTAGGTAAACTTTAAGTTATCATTAGTTAATTCTGCAAAAATAAATTGGATCCTTTGGCAAAACATAAAAATGCAACGATTTAGTTCTTGAAATACATTTACAATTAAAAACACAATAATTTACCATGATCATTGATACCAAAAGATCTTGTATTATATGACCTGACATTCAATTTCTTTTATACCTTTAAAATTTAAACACATGAATAATACATTTTATCACGATGTGTTCCTAAGGAACCAGATTTTTATCTACCTTTATTGTAGTTGCATTAGCTAACGTTTAAAACACATTATGTCTTTTTCTTAACCACAACAACGGGTTTAGTAGTCAAGCTGTAAAAAAATTCGGATTAAGGTTGGCTTTTATTTTTATATAAAACGGTAATCTTCTTCCACTCCAGCGCAAGAATTGTGACTCACAATTTGTGAGGCTACTTGTACATTTTTGACAGGCAATCAATCCTTCAGTGGACTCCAAATACGCTTCTCCACATTATTCGTCGTCTTCAGCCAGAGAGAGGCGCAGCATATTTTTTTTTCTTTTGAGAATTGTTTTCAACTCAGTTACTTTCTGTTTCTTTTTTTCCAAGGATTAATTTTTTCCCTTTTATATGGCGTATAGGTAAGAATTGCGGTCTTGCCTCGAGGGTAATTATTTCTTTTAGCTTTTACTTCTAGTTTTAGTTCTAGAGTGATGTGTCATGCATTCATTTATTTCTAATATTCGGCTAATTCCTTCTCTTCAGCTTTACTGAAAACTATTTTAATTGCTTTTACATACTTTCAATACGGCTTGTTTCATGTTTTCTTTAGGCCATGTCCTCTTAGATTTTTCTTTATACTGACAAACCATAATGATGCAAATAAAAAAATATTTATATACTTAGGTAGGGATGTTACAAAAATATTAGTTGTACTCCATCATGCCCCAAATAGGTATCCCATTTTACTCCAAAAGATAATTTAAAAAAATATATTTTTTTACCCAATCAAAAGATTTTTGTTTAAAAGATGCCTATATTCTCTCAAATCGAATAAAAAATATTACATTTTAAACTTTTTAAAACACGAAGTTTTTGCTTTAGTAGGCATATCCCATATTACCCCATGACCCCATCTTGCCCGTGGTTCTTCTACTATTAAGGATTTTCATAACAACACGTATTTGTCATAATCAGAAGCCATGACTTTTATCCAAAGTACCCCATAAAATCAAAACCAAGCTAAACGCTTGCAAAAAACTATTAAGTATTCTAAAATATCCATCTTTTCATGCTATAGCATTCATATATGAATAAAAAAATGATGTATTCTTGATTAAATTTCTTAATAATTATGGTACACGATGATGTATAGCTTGCATGTTACTTTCCAACCATTTCAAGTAAGATAATAAACAATAAGATTATGACATTCACACGTTCAAAGGCATAATGAGGTGAGTTGGCATTATATCAATATTGGGTCGGAAATCCGCAGAATTACCACTTCTTCTTTTTTTCCTTTCATTCTCCTTGATTATATCGCTATGAATGTCTACACAATGGTTAAAGATAACGTCTACATATGTATGTAGGTTTCTATACGTATATAAGAATAGGTATAGAAAGATAATATATATATATATAAATCATTGGCGTTCTTTTACTTAAAAATAATAAAAATATTTTTTTTACAATTTTTAAAGATAATTTTCTTATTTGGTGGAATCATTTTTATTTAATAATGATACTGATAATAGTATATTATATTTCAAGTTTAATTTATTAATTAATTTATTAAATAAGTGTCTAGAAAAGTTTATAAACGAGTTGCATACCTACATACTTTTTTTACATCAACTTAAAATGATTTAAATCAAATATTTGTATAGAGCGACATCTATAAAACAATAGAGTAACCAACTTGGGAATCTGTATTACCAGCGCGCCAATTTTTTATGTGTAAATCGAAATTTATCCCTTCAAAATGGACTGTTTAATCCAATATAGAAGCAGTTTTTCACAGTGAAAGTAAAGAAAATGTTTTATGGGCACTCCGCGGTGAAGTCTCCACTCGATCGAAATTTCGTAATTAAGTTAAATCTAGTTTACTGCCGGCGAAAGTAAAAGGTCAGTACAATGTTCATATAAACTTTTCAAATGTTGGCGTTGAGAAACTATTTAATACTTTTGTATTGAGATAATAAAATAATTTTGACATTTAGTAAGGGCACTTTATTTTAATGATTGCATGACATTTGACAACTGTTAACAAACTTAAAACTAACTCCATTCCGTGACTAAAAACCTATTTCTAACTTCACCCCGTGACTAAAAGGTTATGGCCACAACTTGGCAATGTGTATTTAAAAGGCCATGGAAACATGTACGATAATGGACATTTTAAACGTGTGAGTAGAAAGAATAATTAAAAATATTAAAATTATGACAAAAATGTTTAAAAGCTGAAATAACAACAATAAAGACTTATTTTAAGTTAAAATTAATATCAATTAACAAGCTAAAATTATGAAAAAGCTAAAATGACGAGAAGCTTAACTTAACGAATGATAAAAATATTAAAAAGTAAAAATGACGACAAGCTAAAATTATGACAAGCTATTCTATGACTATAGTCATTATAATATAATTTTCGTAATTATTATTCATTTAAGCTTGTTGATATTTTAAATTTTTATTTTTATAAAGCTAAAATAAGAAAGAATTGAAGCAAGAATTTTTTACAATTTTTAGATTAATCATGATTATTTTAAATTTTATTTTCAAAATGTTTATACAATTTTTTTAATTATTTTTTATTTTTAATAATATTTTTCTAAACTGTCCTTTTTAGAAAATTATAAAATAATATTTCCCGTATTTAATTTAAACTGTTTATTTTTCGTAAAATTTACAAATGTTCACTAATTTTTAAAATGTTACGATTGTTCACATTTTTATATAATTTTTATAATATTATTAATTTTTTAATTTTAATAATTTTTAGTTCAGAATTTTACCAAGTTATATAATTTGTTGTAACGTTTTAAATAAATTTGCACCTTTAAAGCATTTTACATTACTTATTTAAGATTCGTTAATTTTTTTAATTTTGATTATTGCAATAAAAAGTACTTTTTACAGTATTGTCTCCGATTTACAAATTTTAGAGCCTATAGAGAAACACTTTTTATGCATTTTATAGTATAAACCATTGAGTAAGGAACTACTCAATGATATAAACAATGAAAATCAGTGAGTTTCTTTGTTTTAAAATAATTCGAAAATTAAACAGTCGAAAATTTTCACACACTTTTTTCAAGCTTCCTTTAGAATATTTTTTTTTTCGAATTTTTTATCAAAAGAAATAATATAAAAAACATTGTTTTTAATAAACAAAATTTTACTTATAGTCCTAAAATTTGTTTAAATTATTTATTTTTTTGTTTTGCAGAAGATATGATCCCAGATTTTTTTAAAATGGCGGTTTTTTCAAGTATTATTGTGTTTATCATAACATTATTTTTATATAATTTTTTTAAATAGAAATTTGTGAATTTTTTTAACATTTTTCCCTTTTAAATTCCGAAATATTGATGAAAATTAAGGATTTCGAGTCTTCCTATAAAAGTAAGCTGCATATTAGGTATGGAACAACCCCACGCGGACGGCAATACTTCGGTATTGTAGACAAGCCCGGTAAAATAACGAATCTTCTATGAAGTCAGTACTGACAACGGAGGACAAGATGTACATAGACTACCTAGTCTACGACTAGGAAAAATAGGTCATACTGAGAACTTACAACTATACAAACAGTAATCCCAAATGTTTGTTGTAATACTAACATGGATTTTTTCTATACACCTTCAGAATGTAAAGCAAATCAAAAACATGATCGTTTTTCGCAGCCGATATGTCTTGGAACTTTACTTTTTAATTGTTAATTAATTATGATTTAATTATTAAGGTAATATTTTAATTAAAAAGTGAAGTAAATGTTAAACCTTAAAAGTATGTTTTTAAAAATAATTAAAATTAAAACAATTAAAGAATTAATCAATTCTTTTATAACGAGTCGCTAATGATAATATTCAATTTATACCTACATAGACAAAAGTTAACTGAGAATGAGAAAATCATTTCAACATAGTTAAATTAATTTTCGCACGCGATTTCGCGAAGACGTCTATCTACCTATTACTTTTTTCATGGATTAACAGATTTTCTTTTGTATACGTACCTACTTATGATGAATATATTTCTCATTACTGAAAGGATATTGCCTAAACTCAATAACATCGTTGAAAGCATGTAATTAAATTTAACCTTATTGATGAATTTAGGTAATTTACAGGTGTTTCATAAGAAGAATGCGTTATGCCGCCAACCCAAAATGATGTCAAAAAGTTGTTACTGCTTTGCATCACGATTTTACAGTTTTCTGCGGTCCACAATGGGTTTGCTTGTCTAAGCAATCCCTGCGTTTATGGAGTATGCTTGGACGACTTAAATTCCACGTATTTTTGCTATTGTATTGATGGTTATACTGGCATACAATGCCAGACAAATTGGAACGAATGTTGGTCTAATCCATGCCAAAATGGGGGGACATGCATAGATGGCATTGCTATGTTTAATTGTAGCTGCCCTACAGGATTTTTAGGTATAAAAAATTAGTTAAAATTTAATATACACTTGTACTATCCACAATACTTAAGTTCCCCTTTGAAATGGTATGAAGTAAACTTAGTAAACCTTTCTTTTCCTTCATTTTTGCCGTCCAAAGTACAAGAACCGTTATCTGCTTTTTAAAATAAAATTCATTTAACAGTTTTTCTAAATTTAAAATACTTGGTAAACGAGTTGTAAAAACTTGCTGAAAAACAATAAAAATTATGTACTATTTTTAGACACAGCATTTTTGCTTAACATGCCAATTATTTTAGGCGAATTTTGTGAAGAAGATTTCAATGAATGCGAAAGTAATCCTTGCCAAAACAATGGCACCTGTTTGGACGGACCAAATGGTTACAACTGTAACTGTTTACCAGGTTACTCAGGTGACCATTGTCAAATAGATATTGCTGTTTGCAATTCAACCAATGAAACCAGGTGTTACAATGGGGGAAGTTGCCAGGAAGGACCTGGGGATTCTTTTTTTTGCAAATGCTCACCAGGTACTTAATGTTTGGCATTATTTTATGATTCTACCAATTTTTGTAGGTTGGGAAGGGAATTTATGCGAGTCAGAAGTAAATGAATGCATGTCGGCTCCTTGTCAAAATGGAGCTGTTTGTGTGGATTTACATGCCAATTATCTTTGCGCTTGTCTGTTTGGTTTTGCTGGAAGAAATTGCGAGGAAATAGTCCAAATCTGTGACAAAAATCCTTGTGAAAACGGTGCCCTATGTCTTATAGAAGAAGGCAATCCTATTTGTTATTGCGTACCAGATTTTCATGGGGAATTATGTCAGTACCAATATGATGAATGCCAGTTAGGACCAAGGTAACAAAAATTCAAAATGTTTTATTTGTTTATACAAAATATTTTCTAGATGTACCAATGGGGGCACCTGCATAGACGGAATAGACAAATTCTCTTGCTCATGTCCGCAAAACTTAACCGGTCTATTTTGCGAATGTCTCATTTTGGAATCCAACGATCTAGATTGTAGTTATATTGCACCAACAACAATTGTAACTACAGTAACAACAATGGAAACTACAGTGCCAAATTCAACGGAAGTAGCGCATTTTTTAAATACTACAATCGATATAACATCAACAACGCTTATAAGCGACACAACAACTGAGTTTGTAACACAAACAATTTTTCCTGATACGACTCTTACAACACCTGAATTTACAACTTTAACAACAAAAACAATTCCTAATACAACTATTACAACTACAACTCAAATTACAACTACAACTCAAATTACAACTTCAGAGTTTACAAGTACAACTGAAGTTTCAGTTCCAACCAAAGTTACAGTAAAAATACCAGATGTTAGCACTGTAACTGAACATAGTCTTTTCACCACAATGACTTCGACTACATACAATGAAACTATTACTATTCCAATTACAACAATCGCACCTATTACTCTTCCTACAGCTACTACAACTGTTGCTTATAACACCAACTTAACAATTACTCCAACCGAAAAGCCCGATGAAACTACAACTTTTTCTACAGTAACTGATGTTCCCACAATAGTTACAAGCTTTTTAACCGAAGAACCTAGACATTTTACTGACAGTACGACTACTCCATTGCCTACTGCAGAAACAACAATAACAACAACACAAATGATAACAACTACGACTGAAGAACAATCTAAAATTGATTGTACTAAAGCTGAAATGAAGTGTCAAAATGGTGGCACATGTATCTACACTGATAGAAGCTATAAGGTAACTTATATTTGTTTATTAAAAGCAAATGTTGCCTACGAATGTTTTAGTGTCTTTGTTTATTCGACTTCGAAGGCCCACATTGCCAAATAAGCTTGGGTATAAGAAATGCAGCATTTAACGGTGAATCTTATCTATCGCACAGATTGCTCAACCATTCTCATGTAGCTATAGAGTTCGAGGCAAAAACGCTGTCTTCCAATGGTATATTACTTTATTCCAATATAGAGTCTAGTTATATGACACTATATATGGAACAAGGATACTTACAATTCAAATTTTCCTGCGGATATCAGACGATGTTGCTGAGCGAATTGAAAATTCCTGTTAATAATGGCTACAAGATGAATATCAAAGCAAAGTAAATCCATTCATTGTATTGTATATTTGAGTTTAATATTTTATGTTTTAGCCTGGATTTCAGTAAGGATTTAAAGCATTGCGATGCATCTATTAAAGTAAATGACACTCTTTCTATGACTGGCGACCAGATTGCGGAGGTGACGAACTATTTTAACCCTTCAGCCTGGTTACATCTCGGTGGAACGCCGCAGGATATTAGTGGAGATAATTTGAATAAGGGATTTGTTGGTTGCATGTCCGAGTTAAAAATATCAGGAAAAAAGTTAAATATATTTAAAGACGCTGAGGATGGTTATGAGGTTACAGAATGTTCTTCTTTAGCTTGTCTGACAAATCCTTGTAGCAATGGAGGCGTTTGTATGGCGTTGGAGAATGATTGGTTTTGTCAATGCAAGAATGGGTAAAAACTTTTATTTTAAGGCAAATTTTATATTACAATCATTTATTTTAAGTTATTTGGGTAAAAAGTGCGAAAAATCAGTTTGTGAAGATAATCCATGTTACTTTGGGGGAACATGTATACCTTTTTCTGGTAGTGGCTACATTTGTATGTGCCCGTATGGTAAACATGGACATTTCTGTGAAAATGGTAAATTTGCTTTTACAAATCACAAGATAGATTTCTAACAAACATTTTTTAGATATCAAAATATCGGAGCCTCATTTTTCGGCTTCAATAAGAGGTTTATCTTCCTACGTAGCCTACCCTATACCAGATGGCATCTTCAAAAATATGGAAATAACATTTAGATTCACCCCGACAACAATGGATCAGATTTCGATTCTTTTGTTCATCGGTCAATCTGGTTATCATGATTACTTTTCAGATCATATAGCAGTAAGTTTTGTGAAAGGCTACATAATGTTGACATGGAACTTAGGCTCAGGTCCTAGAAGAGTATTTACATCGCAACCAATTAAAAAAGGGGCTAGAGATTATTTGGTGAAACTAGGACAAGTAGGTAGACGGGCTTGGTTATACGTGGAGAACATAGGAAATATTACCGGAAGATCCCCAGGAAGTTTGAGTCAGTTAGATGTAATACCACTGATATACTTAGGTGGACATGAATCTACGAATTTCTCATTGCTTCCCCATGACTTACCTCTCCACACAGGTTTTTCTGGATGTATTTTTGATGTAGAACTAAAGTCAGGCAGTGTGGTTCTTTCATTACAAAACTCCTTACAAGCTACAGGTAGAGCTGTAGGACAATGTGGAACGACGGAGTGTTTTGATCAAAGTTGCCAAAACGGAGGGGCTTGTCTACATCATGGAAGCACTTTTATGTGTTTATGTCAGGACGGTTGGTTTGATCCTTTATGTTCATCAAAAAACAATCTTTGCGAAGAATCTTACAGCAAATGTTCGGAGGAATCAACATGTGTTCCACTGATTTCTAACTATAATTGCGACTGTCCTTTTGGTAGAACTGGGAAATATTGCGAAAAAGAAGAAACTTTAACCGACATCAGCTTCACAGGGCATAGATCATATATTTTACTAAACGCCAAAGAGTTTGATAATGCCAGAGTCAGTTTTAGTATGGAATTAAGAGTGCTGAGCGATACTGGTTTAGTATTCTTTATGGGCAAAAAGGGGTCCAGTTTTATTTCACTCTACTTACAAAACAATCTATTAGAATTACGCGTAAATACGATCAAAAACAAAGTGACTTACTACAATCCTTTGGTGATAAGGGGTTCCAAATTGCTGTTGAAAGGCATATGGTATCCAATTGAATTTGGTTTATTTGGTCGCAAAGTATTTCTCTCTGTTGATGGTACAATAAACACTGGCCTTACTAACGTAGGCAGCATTATTAGTTTATCAAAAGAAAACATGTACCTTGGGGGTTTACCAGATATGTCCCATTTACCTTCACAAGCCACAACAAACTATCCAGTACCTTTAACCGGGTGCATAAGACATTTTCATTTGGATACAAAACATATATCCCTAAATAATGATACCATAAAAGAGTCCAAAAATATCGTGGATTGTGATGGTACTCCTTGTGGAGGTGAAGCTTGCCTTCATGGTGGAACTTGTTGGTTGGATTCCTTCATGAAACCACGTTGCGCATGCGTGCAGCCTTACTACGGTGATAAATGCCAGTTTATACCTGATTGTGATAAAAAATCCTGTCAAAATGATGGAAAATGTTACAACAAGAAGTGTTCTTGTTTAGTTGGATACACAGGGTCTTTTTGTGAGAAGGAGATTATTGTTAAAATGCCACAATTCGATGGGATCAGTTATTTAATTGTTAAGAAAAGTAATAAAAGAAGGGATTTGGGGTCTTTGGAGATACAGAAGTTGTACTTAAATTTTACCACTGCAAAGCCTGAGGGTTTATTTTTATGGAGCAAAAAGGTAAAATTAAGGGTTTTGTGGATATTTTAATTACTGTATTTATTTTAGGATGATTGTTTTTTGGGCCTTGGCGTTGAAAACGGATATCTCAAACTAACCTTTTCAGGGGTGAAATCTAAAAAACATTATGTCGAAATTCCATCCTCAATACAAACTGCAGATGGTTTGTTTCACTCAGTAGACATCTCATTTAACCCACTTCTAATAAAATTAGACTCGAACGATTTGGAAATCACGAATAAAAACGAACAGTCGCCCGAAGAAATACAAATATTTACTGATGGTGTTTTCTACATTGGTGGTGTTCCTGGTAATAATTTACTGGATGAAACTTTTGGGATGTTCCATGAAAATTTTGAAGGTTGCATTGAGGCTTTTGCTACTAACAATGATAAAAGTATAACTGATTTTACGCATTTTGAGGGAAGCAATGTAGGGGTATGTGATATAATTTAAACCAAATTTAACGTTGTCCAATAATAATTTATTTATTATTAAATTCTTAATATTTTAGTTAAGTTTAATTCTTTTTTAATTATTGCTTTGTTAATATTATTAATTGTTTCATTAATTGGTTTGCACTCATTTTTAATAACTTTTTATGGAATAAAATTGCCAATAGTATTATGTGAAGGATTTTAATCTTCCAAAAGAATTACAATTGTAAAGGCTAAAACTGCCATTTTTCTAGTCATATTTATTAGACGTGTATTCTTATGAATATTAGCCCGTCATGTTTGTGTATGTGCAATACTAGTACAAAATTTTGTTGTAAAACTGTTAGAAGTTATTTAATAAAACAATTTCTTAGAAAATGGGTAGTTTTACTTACCTTTTGCGTTTTTTTGATAATTATTCTAAAAACAATAGGTACCGACACCGTATTTTTATTTTTGGTGTAAACAGCTTAAAGCAGAATTCGATTTTTAAAAGGGAGTGACTCGGTGAAGCTTGTAGGGGAGCGCCGGGAGGGTTTGGACACTGGGAGGCATTGGACACACTCATAATTACCGCCTAATTAAAGAAGGGGTGGAAACAGAAACGTAACTAAAAGCGTATTTGAACGTCCCTGATATCTGTCTAGAAGCGAAGCAATCACGTCTTTTCGTTTCGCGGCACTGCCATTTTCCTATTTTTCCACGTGTTCATTCCAATATTACCAGTTGTAAACTCTGCTTTTAACAAACTAATTTTGAGATTTTTTGGTTGCTTGATTGATTACCAGTATAAGGAAAACTTTAAAAATTAAAGGGTATTGTTACTTTGAAAATGTATATACATAATTTATAATATTTTGGGTTTTATTAATCAAACTACCTTGCGGGAGGGTATGGACGACCGTCCAAAGAAGTCGTTGTAGATAGCAACTATCTGATAGCTATAACGTGAAATTAAAAAAAAACAAGTGGCTTCCAACCACAACATTTGTGTCATATGAGGAAGTGATTTTGAAACTATCAAATCCTTTAACAGACCGAAGTGTCAGATATGGACATGATATATTTTAATGTTGATGTTATCGAGTACAACTTACGTTAATGATAAAGTTATTGATTAATAAACAATTTTTTACTAAATATTTTATTTGTTTTTAAAGTGTTTTTTTGTCAAACAAATGTTTTGCATAATATATTTGCTTAATTATTGTTTGTCCAAACCCTCCCCATCGTTGGGGAGGGTTTGGACATAATACATTAAAAAAATATAAGTATTTATTTCATGCTTATGTCATGTTTTTTTCAAAAAACAAAAGAAAAATGTATGTAAGAGACATGTATCAACCAGTTTGACTACAAAATTTTAGTTATTTTTTATACGTGTCCACGCCATAATTATTTATTTAAATATTGTCCAAACCCTCCCGGCGCTCCCCTATCTTTTATAATCTATGGATTACAGTCGCCCAGTCACTGGCGCGGGGTGAAATTCCGATATGCATTTTTAAAACGCATCGCGTTATACTTAATTAAGTTAATTTACTTTAAAAAATGATCCAAGTACCTACCTATTTAAAATGTAACATAGTCACTTATAACTTACTTAGTTAAATGTGGAAAACCATTATTTGTTTTGCATTTAACTAATGGTGAACTTTAAATGCATCCATATAAACAAATGCGCATATTTCAGTTAAATATGAATAAAAATGGCTACAATTTTGTGAGAAGCTTTTTTGACGAATGGAAAACCGTTTAGTACGTCTAGGAACACTTATCAACAATTGTCAACGCGAAACCTTATCGTTAAATATAGTTTAAAGGTAATTAAACAAAATTGCCATTATGGCCATACTGCAGTATGATATTGTAATAAAAAATAATAATAGGCGTAATGAACCTTCGTTATAATCAAATTGTTATGTCAGAATATGTGGAACAATACTCCTGGAATCAAATTTGTCCAAAAATTTTCCAGAAAAGGTATTCTTAAAGTATTCTTAAAAATTACCTATACATAGGGTTGGAATTTTGACCGGTCAAAATCTTTTGTGGTCAATTGACCGGTCAATTGACTAAGCACCAGTCAAATTCCTTAGTTTTTTCTAAAGAAATGAAGGCATGAGAAAATTACTTAATTTTAAAAAGAAACGTACCTATATTTATTGAAAAAGAGCTAACAAAAAATAAAGAAACCATTCTGAGGTACAAAAAAACATTCATATCATTGTTTTTAAGAATATTCACGTCTAGCTCGTAGCAGAGCAGCAACAGCAGCCCAGCAGATAAGACCTGAAGATGGTACATGATATTGTACCGAAACGTCGTCAGACATACGGTTCTTTTAAGAATCAAAAACCGACAACACGGTGCTAGCATGTGTAGATAACGGCACATAATCCTCGTCACTGAACCCACCCTCGCCATTGTCTTTACTCTCTTAAAATTAATTAGTCAAAAATGACCCAGAACACTATTTAAAAAGCATTATTATAATTGCGCCATGGTCCACTACCGAACATTTTTTAATACTTTTGATATTCTCCGCTAGGTAGGGCCGCCGCCGCGCGCGGTTGAATTAAAAGTTTTTGACCGATTTTTACATGGTCAAAATCTCTCCTGTCAAAATAGGTAAAAATCTCGGTCAATTGACCAGGCACAACCCTGCCTATAGATACATTTTGGAAGAACTTCCATCATTAGACGAATTTCCTCTATTTCTGCAGATTTATTTATTTTCTTATTTTCTACGTTGGTTAACCAACAGTTAAAAAAATCATCAATTTTCGATGCTGTAATATAAATTTTTATTCAGGTTTTAATTTGAGCATATACAGGGTGCACAGCAACAACAACTGATGTCAATTAAAATTTTATTGTAGCTTTGTTTTATTCGTGTTATCTCTGTTATTAACAAAGATTCACTGTTTTAAAGAAACGCACAGGATAAAGTCTTTACATGTAAAAAGAAATAAGTGTAAAGTCGATATACGCTGTAAAGGATGTCGGTTATTTTGAAATATGACAGCAAAAGTTGTCAAATGAAAAAATACCGTTATCTGTGACGGATATTTCTCGTTAATCGCCCTCGGTGGTGTAGTAGTTAGCACTGCGGACTACAAGCCGAGAGGTCGTGGGTTCGAATCCCACCAGGGGTATGGCTGTTTATTTGTGTTTGTCATTGTGTACTTCTGTAATTGGGCCTGGTGCCTGATGAAGGCACATTAAAAAAATAATAACAGATTATCTGAATAAAAAAAACAAAATGTTTATAAAAATAAGATGATTTTAATTGACCTCCAATTTTACCACTTTTTAAAATTGTTATTTCAAATTTCATTCTTCCAACTTAAGAAACACAAAAATATGATTTTAACAAATGGAGATGGAGACCTTAAAATAAAGTTAATTTAAAAATATTTCTTTCAAAAGTACTAAAATCCTTGCTGGATAAAAAAGCAATATTTGAAATGAGAGACTACTTTCATATTTATTAACCCCTTTATTATTCATATTAACCAAACTTGAAAATTGTCTTAAAATTATTATTAAAACAAATTCTTACAAAACAAGTATTTTGCATGTATCTACTTACCTTTTGTAATTTGTGAACTGCTGAAAAGGTTGGGTTTAAAGAAAACAATAATTACTAGTACATAAAATATAATTGATTTATTTATAATATATGTATTTATACCTATAATATATTAATATATACTCTGTGTTTTTTGTGCTTTAGCACATTAAACTCCAGTACGCAACAGGAATCATAAAGTGCCTTTCATAAAATCGTTAGGGACGAGAAGAAAAAATTACATAAAAAACATACTATATAATCTCTAATGATTTTGCAAAAGTGTAAGGAGCCCTTAATGATTCGCCTTGGGTAAGTTAAAATAATAGGGATTAGAGTGTAATAATATAATAGATTAACATTAATTTCATATAATTATATAATAAATGATTTTTTCTTTTTTCCAACCTATACAATTGAAATACATAGTTATTATATTTATCTATAGGTACATATTTATTATTCCAGCCACAATTTAACGTAGAGAGCCAAACTAAATGCATTCAACAAATTTTACTCGCCGTAAATTATTTTAAATAATTTTCCAATTTCAAAATTATCACATTTCTTGAAACAATAGAAACACGCTACTTTTTTGGCTCTCGTTGCATAAAATAAATTTAAAATAATACCGTCAACCAGATGTTATAGATACATAACATTAATATATATTTGTATATATAAAATGTACACATTTGACTGGAAAACAATTACACATTTAATAGCAAACCACTCATAGTTTTCGGCCGGAAAATCCTACCGGCCGATTATACATCACAAATTTTAATTAAAACCGACTTGCAAAATTTAACAACCTTCAACTCTATCGATTAAAACCAGTTATAAATATGATAAAAAATATATATTCAATTAATAACATCATTAAGGAATTCTAAGAGCAAGCAAGCACTTTGTATATAAATAGGTCTTTGCAGCTATAATCTCTTCATTATTTATTCAATTCTAAAGTAGTAAATAGTTTCAGCTTTAATTGGTAAAGGCGCGGAATGTGTTGTTAACTTTTGCAGTCAATATTTGAATAGCACCACGCCAAAAAAGTACGGAGACACGTATAAAAATACCAAAGTTAGATAGCTTTGGTCCTCTAATTACATAACATTATATATTTATGATAAAAGCCCTGTTTAATAATACTTAAGAGATAGATGCTAAATTTTTTCAACCAGTCTTCATTTTTTTTTAATTAAAAACCGGATCTGGGTTTTCAGCCATTTGCTCGTTACTCGTTTCTTCAGATCACATATCTATTGCACACAGTATTATCTTCGAGATGAAGATACCGAACACGGTGAACATGACCGTGGCAGCCAGGATTTTTTGCTGCAACGTCAACGTCCTGTACTTCATCAAGTGGTAGAAGGGATGCGCGGCGTGCCGGTTTTTGGCCGAGTGCACGGGCGTGTTCTGCGCAGCCGCCTGACTCACCTTTAACGAGGAAGATACCGCGGCGTCGGCCGGCAACGTCGCAAATGGCAGTACAGGGGTGTACGGACCCGACAGCTCGTCGCCGCTTTCCGTTATCCTGATGGGACACACGCGCGCCACGTACTCCACCCCGGGGGTCAGCTGGTCCAATGAGCAACTAGTTTTTGGCCCTTTGTATCCCTGAGACAACAGAATTTTAATATTTAGTACAAGTCGCAATATCGATTTTTTATAGTAAATAAATATATTTTTTTCAGAAATCGAATTAAATGTATAAATGTCTTAAATTAACTGGTAACGTTGGGTATAATTATAAAAGTTTATTCAAAAATCATCCATTAATTACGTCAGGCATTTTTCTGATAATTTTGACCCCCCCCCTTGGTGAGATTTGGTATCCCTCACGTGAGATTTTAGCCGTTAAACTTTCTTTGCGAACAACATGTAAAAAAAATAATTTTGTTATAAATTTGAATTATAATACATATTTTTTTTAACCCAAAAGTTGACGTGAGATTTTAAATGAACCCCCCCTTAAACTTCGATTTGGTGAGATTTTGCTGGACCCCTCTCCCCCCATTTTTGTCTCACGTAATTAAAGGATGTCCCCAAAGTGCTAAACCTTATTTTTTTTTACCCATATTGACCATATTGACTAATATTTTAAATTAACGTTGTTCTAAAATCGTTTAAGGGTGTTTTAGACTGATCCAAATTGAACTGCCATAACCATCCCAAAATGTCTTACAATCGTCTTAAACTATTTCAATTAAAATTCTCTAAAAACGTCTTAAACTCTAAGAACTTTGTAAAATATAAAATGTCTTAATAGTATTTTATGTATCAAGTTTTATAAATTCCATTTTAGTTTTTAGTTTTATTAGGCACGAACGAAACTTGCAAGCGAGTGTTTAATAAAAACGAGTTTATAGAGAAGTTTATAAAACGAATTGCATACTAAAATTTATCTACGACGAACACAAAGAAGAATTTAAAGCAAATTTTATTTGTAAATAAAACATTTGACATCTGTCAACTTTTAACGGATTTAACCTAACTTTTCCCCAATTTATAATAAAAATAACTTCAATGCCCCAAGGGAAGTTATATTTATTATAAATTGGGGAAAAGTTGGGTTACATCCGTTAAACGTTGAAAGATGTCAAATGTTTTACAAATAAAATTGGCTTTAAATTCTTCTTTGTGTTCGTCGTAGAAAAAATATAGTATGCAACTAGTTTTATAAACTTCTCTATAAACTCTATAGAGGAGTAGATAAAATTGTATAAAATCGTCTTAGACTTACCATTACAACTTGCTCATGCAAAAGAAGTGACCTAACGATTTTAAAAACTTTTCGGTTATTTAATACTAAGTAGAAAAGGATGAGTTAATATTCGAAAATCGCTTGAGTGCTTTGCTTTTAAAAAGTGCACAATATTTGAATTTCCCGCCAAAACTAAAAAGCGGGATTATCCACAGACCACCAAAACAAATGGACGGCGCATTGCCATTCAATAACAATGTTTTGTTTGCGGTCAACAAACGGTCACAGTCTAAGCGTCAAATTGGAGATAGAATTTTATGTTTTCTTCCAGTGACGTCAACAAACGGTCACAGTCTAAGCGTTAAATTGGCGATAGAATTTTATGTTTTCTTCAAGTGACGTATTGGGATTAAAAAAATAATAAATAGGTAGGTACTTACAAACGATATTTCCATGTATTGTTATTTTTAGTAAAAAATAATGTATTTAAACTCCATAATTAACTTAAACACGATAGAAATACACAAACGAAAACACAAAACAACAAGCTGTCAACCTTTTTCTATGCTGTCAAATATGACGAATTTACCAACGTTGTTAATAGGTATTTAATTTAATAATTATTAAATCATTTACTTTCTTTAAATAGAGAAAAATATCTAAAGAAAATGATGAACAAATCCTTTTTACAATTTTTTTATTATTCAAGCGAATTACTGGTAATTATTAATGTTCATTATGTTATGATGAACGTCCAAAAAGGCGTGTAATCTATACTTCTGACAACGTTGGAAGCCGTGTTTCTTTCAAAGGTGTTTAGAATGTGAAACTATGCTTTACTCGCTTTTTAAACGTAAACAAATCCGTCCATTTGTTTTGGTGGTCTGTGGGATTATCACACCTATAGGTTACTATAGTAATTTTTAAAATGTTCATTAATGCTTGAAAAGTGCTCAATTTTTTAGCATTTATGGACACTTTTAAAAGTGCTCGAGCACCTGCCATCTCCAATGATGAGTGAAGAAATTAGTCTATTGTGGGACTAGTGGGAGAAAGAGGAGATTCCTCGATCGTGGTGTTTTCCGGTAAGACGCGAGTGGACTTTTCTCTTTTGACCAATAGTCGCACACAATATTTTATTCAACTACCACAATGAATTTAAAGCCAATTTCATTTTGTGTTTGAAATCTGACAGCTGTCAAGCAACTTTTACCTCATTTTTTCCAATTTTAACCTAAAGCTAACTTTAACCCGTGGCCACGCGTGGGCGAAATAATATGTCGCCCACTGGTGGGTTAAAGTTAAGAAATGAAATAACTGTTAAATAAAATAAGTTATTATTAAGTTATAAGTCCTAAGTACTAGAGTGTTATTTTATTTTTACTTTAGCCCTCTGACGGTCATTTTATGAACTATATACAGGGAGGTCGAAAAATGGCGCATCGACGCTGTAGGGTGGAGGTTATTTAAAGTATAAAAAAATTACAATTATTTCCGACAAATAATTTTCGAGTTATAATCTCAGACACTGTCAAAAAATACATCTGTCAACCATTTTAACTTCAAGTCGCTATAGATGCGTCGTATATTTTGATACCACAACCGTTATTAGATGTTTCTTAAATCGGTTGAGAAAATACACAGCGTGGTCGAGTTTATTAAACTTTATTGCTTAATAACTCGAAAACTACTTATCGAAAAAAAAATTAAATTAATATTTTTTATATTTAAAAACGTGACACCTTGTATATGCCACCTTAACTGGCATTTTGCCTTTGCATATTTATCGCAGAAAAAGGTTTTTTTGAATTGAGTCACTTTTCTTGTGAGTGAGCAAACTGTCTAAAATATTCTTAACTGCCTTAAATTGTCTTAAAACTTTAAGAATTGTCTAAATTATATTTATTTCAGATAGATCACCACCTCCAAATTAACCAACAAAGACCGCGCTGTCCAGGTTTGTTTTATTTTGACCTATTTAAATCTAATTAGACTTTAATATGACTTAAAATCCTCTTACAAAAAATTAAAATTATTTTCTTGTATAAAATGTGCTAAAACCTTCTAAAATGTATTAAATAAAACCGTCTTGACTATCTTAATTATGCAAAAACATAAATAACTTGAATGAATTAGTAAACTAAATATCTTTTCATTCATCATTAAGAGTTAGTATTGGAAAGTATGGTATATTTTATTAAAGTTTCCTTTCCCTGGATAAATAAAACAACAAAGTATTCTTACCTTAGTAAAGACTTGGTCCTTGAGCAAAGCGTACTGAACACAATACACGACCTGATCGGCGAAGACATTTTTGGCAGGCGTCCATTCCAAAACGCACAAATTTTGATCGACCTCCACGACTTTCGGGTTCTTGAGCACAGCTGGGGGAGAAATGCCGGTGGTGAACTCGAACTCGTCCGAGAAATCCCCAATTCCGGCGTCATTGGAAGCATTTATTCTAAAAGTGTACGTCGTCATCTCTTGCAGCTTGTTCACTTTGCTGGTCAAAGCTGTGCCTTTGTACACGCATTGATATTCATGGGACCTAAGGTTGATCATCTCGACGCAGTAGAGCGTGTAGTCGGTGTTTTTGCCCTCGCCCCACTTTAGTTTGAGATAGTTGTGCCCCACGCCGGCGATTTCCAATTTCGGCGCTGCCGGTGGTAGTTTTAGGGTCGAGGTTCTTAATACGGAAGAAAATGCACCGGGTCCCACATTGTTCACCGCTTGAATCTTGATTTTGTGGTGCGTGTCAGGCGTTAGATTCTCCAGGAGGTACTCCGTGACAGGTCCTTCGGTGGATATGATCCTGTCCATCAGTTCGATGTTGTAATGGCTGATGGGGGAGCCGTTGTCCAACGGAGCCGTCCAGTGCAGTGTAATTGACTTCGGAGTCGACTCGCTCCTGATATTGGCCACCACGGCCGGTTGGGCGGCGGGTGTTAAAGTCGCCGCCACTGGCGAGTAAAGACTGCCGCCGGCCACGTTGCAAGCTTGTACCCTGAAGAAGTAAGTGGTGAAAGGAACCAGACCTAAAAAAAAAGAATTCTTCATACTACGCGACATAGAAACCAAACTATATATTTTCAAAGGTTTTTGACGTGCTCAATCCGAATTCGACCTCTATCACATCTAGTTTTCGAAAAATTCAATAGTTCAGATTTTATTACTTTACAAGATATTTTTATCCACAAAATGTTTTACTACTTTTGAAAGTAGTAGGTACTCTTCCCCTTCAAAATTATTTTTACAATTTTTAATACCGTTTTCCTTTTAATAAATTTAACAAGGATTTAAAAAGTGGTGCTTTTAGTAGAGATGTGACGAATCGTTTATTTTGTTTTTTTACTATTTTGTTTTTTTACTATTTTTGTTGTTTTTTTTTCAAGATTAGTTCCATTTCCAGTCCAGTTCGAACCTTTTTCTATGGTTCGAACTATGATCATAGACTAAAATGAAACGTACAAAGCGCGAAGTCTGCAGCGTGCAGTCAGCTAAAGCCGCGTTTACACTTTGTGAATTAAAATACTTATTTTTAAATGTAATGTGAATATGTTTGTGTTAAAAATGTATCAATTAAAATTTGTTAAAAATAAAAGTTTTTGGTTTAAATTTCGCAAGAGTATGAAATGTAATATATTCTAAATTTTACTTTATTATTAATATACATTTTGCTCAAAATTTCATACAGAAAATACTCATTTTTTTTAAATTGATGTTATTTATTGACAAAATAGGCTTTATTGTAGCGCATTCGAAAAAGGTTTTATTTCATGTTTTTTTCAAATCTGAAAAAAACCTTTTTTTACATGTCTAGCTTTTAGATGACCTAACGAGTTTTGTGGAAAAACAATATTTCGTGATGTACTTTTGGGTTAGAATTTTTCAAAAACCTGATGTTATGAAGAATTTAAACGGTGGGATTCAAATTCAGCGCATCAAAAACCTTTGAAAAAGTGTAGGCTGATTTTGAATTAATGTAAATTCTTATTTCCAGACATTTTATAGCATTTAATGGTAAAATGTATATTTGTATTACCTTTGACATCGTATTTTGTCTCGGCACCCTGATAAACGAGAGCAAAGTTCTCGTCGGTGATCGGACTGAACTCAAGGCGGTACTCGGTGATCGGGGCGCCGTTCGTTTGGGGCGCCCGCCACTCGACGTACACGTGGAATGCCGATTTGCACTGGAGCTGGGGAATTTCGGGGGCGGTCGGGGCGGCCGCCCCGCTCGTCACCTTCAGACAATCCGTCCACACTCCGGGACCTATTCTATTTACAGCTCGCACTCTAAAGCTATATTCACATCCAGGACTAAGTTCGGTTACCTTTGAAAGAAAAGTTTGTCGTTATAGCGAATTTTTTACAGGATAGTCGTTAGTCGCGAAAAAGGTTCAAATCATTGGTTTAAAACAAGTTTATTCCAGATTTGAAAGAATATGTGCATATGTGGTTATAACAGTATTAGGGCGATTCCATGATTACTAACGGGACAAACAAAAACAATGTTTTATAAAAATGTTAAAGATGTGTTGTTTTAATCAAAACTGTCTTTTAAAATGGATTGTCGATGTGTAAACATTGAGCGTACGCCTAAGTCATGTAGATGTGTCTATGCATTTACATTTTGACTTGTTTTTCCCCCAGAAAACTTGGAATAGCTGAACAGCAAAATATAATAATTCCAGACAGTTTCCTATTTAAAAAGACCTGGAGTGTTTAACAGATGAGAACCACATTTAAGCTGGACTTAAATGTCGCGTTCTCTAAAAAGCGGTTGTTTTTTGAATGCGTATGTACCAAGAACGAGAAAGAATCCAAAAAACCTAAACTAGACTTAGACTCTCTGTCATTATCTGATGAAGAAGTCTGCAATGCACCAAAGTACAAAACATAAAGACGTTAAAATTTCCAAGATGCAGTTTTCTGAAGATATCATCATAGGAAAAGATACTGTCAGGGCTTCCACGGCTAAATTACAAATTTTATTTAGGAATTTAGGATGTTTTAGGAGAAATAAAGTATGCAAATGAATTTCTGTAATTAAATAAAAACAACTCAACAAAACACAAAAATAAGAAAAAATAAATTCTTTTAACAAAAAGTTAATTAAATATCACTTATATTGTACAAATAAGTTACATTTTTTTTTAGCCAAATCGCTCGACGAGTTTTTTTGAATAAAATTAAAAGTGAGGTAAAATTAGGTACTACTTTTGTAGAAATTTCACCACTTTTATTTTTATTTAAAAAAACACATCGATAGAATTGGCTAAAACACTAGGACAAAGTCAAATGATGTTATATTTGTATTTTTAGAAAAAAAATGTTAACTGTTTGGTAAATAACTAACAATAATTGTAATGTGGATCTTGATATTCAAAAATCTCAAAATAAAAAAATATGAAGTTTGCATAATACAGCAAAACATTCTTTAGATTGTTAACTATTTTAGCTATCATTTAAAAGAAAATTAAAAATCCTTTTCTTTGATATATAACACGGTATATTTTTGTCGAAAACAAAAGAAATATGGCTAAAAGTGACAATTTTGTAGAAGTATAGGAGCTACTACAGGAATTTTGTTTTTTAGGTATATTTTTTGTTTTTTAAGAATAATGTAGGTTGTGATATATCATTTTTAAAAGAATTTAATAAACTAGAACCTACAAATATATTTTTAAATTACTTTTAAATCAAATCATATTCGCATTGCTGTTTGTAGCGTAATTATTGGCTGTGCACAAGTAAGAGAGAGAAATAAATAAATTAATCCAATATGGCGACTGTGTAGGATGGATTGCCTAACTCATGGACCCCGAACTTAATTGACAAAACCTGCCCTCTAAATTGCACAAATTAAGTTTTTTTTCACCACCAGCGGCGCTGATTGTCGATGCGTACTGACGTCTGCTCTTTTGGTAGCGTTTCGGTACAAATTAGTCAATTGTTTCAGAATAAACGGAACACCAGCGCCCTTTTATCTTACGAAGTTCTGACTCCTTGTATATGCCTAACTCTTCACAACCCCCTTAACATAGGTATCAAATAAAAGCGTTTGAAGGGTAGAAAATGATAAGTTGGGTAAACATTTTAAAAATTTTGAACTTTCAAAATAGTACTATCGCTAACAAAAAAAACTCATACAGCTATATTGTGGCTGTGTGAATAAAACTTTTCCGTCAAAGTCAAGCTGACATCGAGCTTTGTCACATCCATTATGACTTTTTTAACAACATTTTCAACCAAACAATGCAGACGAACTCTGGCAAGCCATTGAAGCCATTTGGAACGAGATAAAGCAAGACGGCGACTTCCATGCTTTGCCGTTTGCGGGCAGTAATTGACAAAAACAGAGGGATGACGAAATATTATTTTTTTTTCAAACTTTAACCTAACTTTGTATTTAATTTTAGACCTTTCAAATGTGACGTATCATGTTAAAAGCCATAATTACTCCAACGAAATGATAGAAAATCAGGAACACTAGATTTTTAAGCTGTATGAGTTTTTTTTGTTAGCGATAGTACAATGGCACTTGAATGTTTTTTGTTTACTTACCGTACATTGCGTTTCTTTATTTTTGTGGACTAGACTCTGACAACCTTCGGGATCGATCATTTCGACTTCGTATTCGAGCACTGGAGCGCCGCCATTGTAAGCGGGTTCTCCCCATCGAATATTTATCGAGTGCGATTTCGGTTTACCATGAAGCTCGAGATTTTCGCAACTGCCTGAAAACAAAAACAAAAAAGTTAAAAAAATTTTGGGTTTGCTTCTTTTGCCAACTAATAAAACAAAAATTATGAAGTTGCCACCCTTTGAGTTGGTACCTTACCTGGGCTTATGGCATCAGTGGTGACAGTACAAGGATCTGAGTATTCGCTACGACCGCCATCGCTGATACAACTGACTCGTAATTGGTAGGTAGTGCCGGGATTTAAATTATCACAGACTGCTTCCGTTTGTGCACCATCGTACACGGACTTGTATCCGCTACCCGAATTTACTTCTAAAATATACCTGAAAGAAACAAATCAAAATGTAACATCCTATGGATTGATTTAACACTTTTAGAAATTGCTTTTACGTCTTCTTATATTTATACTGGGAATATGAAATGTTGGAACTGAGTGTTAATAATGAGCTCAACCAGAAAACACAACCGTAAAGGTTCTATAATGCCCTTTATAAACGTGCCTTTAAGGAAGAAGCATTCCATTTTTTGATTTGGCGCGCTAAAGGATCTGATATATATAAGATACAAAAGTTTCTGATATGAAGTGTTAAAAATTCTATAGTGGGTAAAAATGGATAAGTGAAGTATCTAATATGGTGGATTAAATGTGGTAGGTATATATTTATTAGATAAGTATATTCCATATTAAATTTTTTGCGACGCCACCTAAAAAGCTTCGTTTTGATGAAAAATCACTGGAATTTTTTTTTAAATTAAAAACAACACGTGCCTCAAGACGATCTAATTTTTTGTTATAATTATGTCTTTTCTGAAAATATGGAATAATAATTTTTTTGAGATTTAAAAATTTTTAACAATGAAATAACTACACCTTGGAGTGAAGAAATCTAGATATTAAAATTGGGTTTGTACTAATATAGTTTTAAAATAAAAATATCAATTTGAATATCTTTCATTTTTTTATTTAATAGACCAAATCAACTGGGAAAAATTTTGAATTTAAATTTTTGTCTATTGTTATTTCGATTAACTATTGTTTTTTTATTGATTTGGGTTCTATAATTGTTTATATTTCGAAAAAAAAATTATTTTTCATAAAAAATTCCCAAAAAAACATGATTATACCAAAAAATTAACTTAGATCGTCTTGAGGCACGTGTTTTTAATAATAAGGTTTTTTCATCAAAAAGAAGCTTTTTAGGGGGCGTCGCAAAAAATTTAATTTTTAACGACCACCGTAATATTCCACGATAATCAGAAATTGTTATCCCTACCGTCACAATACAATTTCTGACGGTCGGGATAAAAAATTCCGATAATCGTGGAATATCCGACCTAATAATATAAACCAACCCCATTTATTTCACCATAATAAATACTTTACTTATCCATTACATTATTTAAAATATTTTTGTGAAATGTAATACTAAAGCGTTAATAAATTTACAAGAAAAAATACAAAGCAATATATAAGTATAATTACTAGTGAAACATAAAAAAAATATTTTAAAAACTGTTTATTAGTTAATAAATGGAATCCATACCATTTAAATAAATAAAAAATTCCTTTAAATTGAAAATATTTAAAATTAAAATATATATAGTAAATTTAAAAGTAAACTACGTACACGTCATCAATCAGCTGATCGGGCACGGTTGTCAATGTGATGCTAAAATCCTTGCATCAAGGGAAAGTGGTAGTGCAACTACAGGGCGATAGATGGCGTTTACATGAATAATACCACAGACCTACAGGTCTGTGAATAATACCAAAATATCAATAGTCTGAGTTTTTATAACCTATATGATGCACCGCCAAAAGTATGTTTTTAGCCATTTTTAAAGACATTTTCTGATATAAAACCCAAAAAAATTTTTGCCATCTAAAGTCAGTCTCTGGTATATATATATTATTATTTTATGTATCCAACATATATTTTGTTAAATATTCTAATATATAATTAATAATAATCCTATTTACCTCTCTAACAGCTGTTAAAGGTAACAAAGGTCCATTATTATCCCGTTCTGCCTAGCGTATTAAGGATGACACCAACTTTTGACTCCGACTATTTAAATGCTTCGGCATTTTAAATATAGGAAACACAAAAAAACGATATATAACAAACACAAAAACGGCAATGAAAGCTTAAACGATATAAAATAACACAAACAACAAACAAAATAAACGAAATAATACACGAATTTAACGAAATATTCAAAAACACAACTGACAGCTTCGAAATTCTAAAACGTCAAATTCTTTTTTATGTGTCATTTAAATATGAAATATTTAAATGTAAATATGACAACATCTTAATTGTTGCCAACTGAAGATGTTTAAAATGCATTCAAAATTTGAATGCATTTTAAACATCTTCAGTTGGCAACAATTAAGATGTTGTCATATTTACATTTAAATATTCAATTACAGACTTCGATTTAGTCATTTAGTGTTGGTACCAATGCGTAAAATTTTTGTTTTATTGATGACGTGTACGTAGTTTACTTTTAAATTTACTATACCTATTTACAAATAAGTTCACTTGATTTTTTGGTAGATTGTCCTCTATAACAAAGAAAAGCAAGTTTTCTTTGCCATTATTATTTTTACTAAATTCTTTGGCGGTACCTTGTCTTTGTAAAATTAAAAATGCACCTACTTACTCATTTAAATTTAACAACCATTATTAGTATGATTAGTATTTTTTATGTTGTATAACACACCATTAAAACTATAGGAATTACACTGGGCGTCATTTTTTAAAAATGGCTTTAACCAAAGGATAATTAAAGGTTCATGTATGTTTTATATACAGAAAACATTTGGCACTTCAATGGTTTTTTAAAGTCCCATTAACTTGATACTAAAAATTGCCATATATGAGTCTTTTATGGTAAAATATACAAATATTAGCCTAAAAAGGGCCATTGCAAGACCTTATCACGACCGCCTATTATCAAAATTAATATTCCTATTAAAAAAACATTTCTGCAAACGCCCAGTACAAGGAAAGCTATGACTAAAAATGCCATTATTAAGCCATGAAACTTATGTCAGGCTTATCTGTTTGCTGGGAAACTTGATGTTAGTGTTCTAAATGAATTCTTTTAGAAAACTTGTTTTCACAAAGTAAGTTTTAATTTGGGAGCAACATATCAGTTTTTCCATCGTATAAATCCAAAGTGCTTTCTTTCTTACCTGGAAATTTCTGCTCCCCCTTTCTCGCTGGGTGGTTCCCACTTTAGCTTGAAGGAGTGCGCGTGGATTCTGCCCTTGACCACCGGCTTGGAGGGCCTCGAGGGCCGCGCGGGCTGCGTGAAGAAGGTGACCTCCTCGGACCAGCTGCTGGTCCCGCTCTCGTTTTTCGCGCACAACCTGAACCTGTACTCGCTGCAGTGCTGCAAATTATGACACACGTGATGGTTCTCCCGGCCGTTGTACTCCGTGAGGAAGCCGTGCCCCGTCTTCGGATTGTTCTTCTGCAGGGTGTACTCGTCGTCTTTAGGCCTGTTCTGCCACGTGAGGTGCAGACTGTACACGTTGGCTTCCAGCAGGGTGGGTGGGTTCGGTTTGGTCGGAGGGTTGTCGTACGTAGCGTACGCCACCGTGTCCGAGTAGGCGGATTTGCCCACGGAGTTGACGGCGGCGAGCCGAAACTTGTAGGCGGTGGCAGGTTGCAGTTTTTGGAGGGTGTGCGTTTTGCTTTTGCTCTTGCAGACGGTGAACTCGCCACCTTTCCCATCATCGTATTCCAAAATGTAGTGTTGGATGTGCGAGCCGTTATCGTTCACCGCGTTCCATTTCAGTTGAAGCAAGTTTTTCGTTCTGTTAATGAGCTTAGGGATCTGAGGCTGGTCGGGCTCGCAAGGAGGAGTGTCGAACTTTATGGGATCAGTAGCGGAACCTTGCAATTCGTCTAAGTGTACTTGTAAGCATACGGAATATTCCTGTCCAGGTTTTAAGTCTTGTATTCGGCAAGAGAGCGAAGGTCCGCTGTATATTGACTTGAACTTCATCTCCTTTGATTTGTCGCTCAGCAGGACCTCGTAACGAAGATCCTGCTCGGAAATGTCGATTTCTAAGCTGTCGCTAGAAGCCGCTTCCGATAACTTCGTTGGATGTCCCCACTGTAATAAGGCACTGCGGGAGCTCAGTTCAGACACCTAAAAAGAATATTATTACTTACTCCAGGGAGTTCAATAAATAATATTAACATTTTCATAGAATAGTGTCATTCCCACACAGCACATATATCCATTGGACGGCCATTGTACATCCAAACATCCAATGTAAGTCCATTTGACGTCCATTGGACATCTTGTGCTGTATGGGTTATATCTTGATGTTTGGAAACCAAGTGAGCTGTTTTTGTCACTTGGTATAATGCAAAAATAATACCCCCCATAGATTGGAAACTCTCCCACCACTGCCCTCTAGAGCTACAATACCTAAACAATATCTACAAACTCTATTTGCAATTGTCAATGTCAATCATAATTCATCCATAAAACGTGCGAATGGCTGTAAAATGTATTGTTGCTGGGTGCAGATCTGCATTTCGAAACGTAACCAATTTGTAAGTATCCTGCCGTTTTAAGCCAAAAAGACGCATCTTATTAATATTAACTTATTCTCTTAGCAAAAAAGACACATGTTAACTATACATATATTTTTAAGTACTATAGTAGTATATAAGAGCTATAAGTACTATTTAAAAATATATAGTAAAGTAAAGCAAGTAAAAATGTTGAGATGTGTCTTTTTGGCTTAGTACGGCAGTATCGCTTTAGCGTAAAAATACTGTTTGTTAATTATGAATTATTAAGGATTAATGGTAATTTGGTCCAGGCTACTTATGGTTGTTCTAAAACCAAGTGTTGGCAAGATGGATTTTTCACGGTTGGTTAGAATTTGCCAAAAGTCCACACTTAAAAGTCTTAAGTTTATAACCCTGTATATACATTATGTATATATATATATATATATATATATATATATATATGTATATAAATAAAAAAAAGTTTACAGTCTCAGGTTAACAGAATTAAAGTGATTTTACATAAAAAATAATATAAATATGGCATATGATACTATTTTTGTATTTTATTTGAAAATATTTGAAATTTTTCATTAGTCTTATTTTTGATCGCTGATATCTTTGAAACGGTTGATCTGAATAACTTTTACCTTCAGATGGTAGAGCGTGAAATTGTCTATAAAACCTCTCGCTTGGGTGTTGCGAAAACAAACCATTCCAAAGTTATAAGAATTCAAAATTAAAAAAATAAAAATTCCCATGTTATTGAAATGGAAAAACTATAAATGAATTGAGTCAAACCTTAATATTAATATTAAGGGCTCAAATATGCGCCAAAATTTTTGTTTTTTAATGTACTATTAATTTTTCAACACCATTAGAAAAAAAAAATTTAATTTTTTTTGAAACGCCCTAATATAGATGTACATATGTATTTTATTTTTTATTATATTGGAACTACAATAAATAAATCGTATATTCATACTTGTTTTATTTAAACTACAGCATTAAATACAATATATAAATGCAACCCACGAAGCATTAACATTCAAATATGGCGCCAATATTATTGTTATATAAATTGATTATAGTTACAGAAATCTACTTCAATTTTTGGCATTGCTTAGGTATTGTAGACCTAGATGGCGTCACCTTTACTTTACTTTGATTTAGCCTCTTTCCGCTAGCGCTAGTGCAGTTTCCAATCTATGGGGTGTATTATCTTTGGTAAAATGTGCAGCCAAGCATTGAAAAAACAATTTTGGTCTTATAACAGGTATTACATGCTGTGCTTAGGATGATTAAAAAGGTATTAGACTTACCACTGGTGCCTGGACGGAAGATAAAATGTCTGTTATAATCTGAATGGATTCGTCTTCGTCAGGCACGCTGCTCTCCTCGCCGTCCTCACTATTCCCCACGCTGTTCATGCCCTTGTCTTTGACGTTCCCCCGTTTCAACCCGTTGACTAAATCCTTCCTGGGCGACAGACTGTCGCCCACCTTCTGCTGTTTCTCGTGCAGCTTCTTTTTGAGCTTGATGTGTTGACGCTGCGTCCGCTCGTCCTTGTAGTAGGTCGGATTGGGGGGTGGACTGTGGCCCAGGTGAGTTTGCCCGGGCATCTGGTGCCCAGGTTGCATGTTGGAATGGAAGTGCTGAGGTGGAAAGTTGTTGGTCGGCATGCCCGGGTAAAATTGTTGCGACTGATTTGTGCCATTCGCTGGACCAGCACCCTGCAACAAAACAAAACACAGTTAAGTTATTGAGTTTTCAGGATATTCCTAGGAAAAAGATTGTAGTTTTTAAGGAGGGGATAGATTAGTATAGATGGCAGTCATATAAAAGAAATAAAAAGAAAATACTGTTTAAATAAACCTACAATATTAATGCAATAATAGCATTGACGTCGGGTCAAATATTATTTAACTAGTTAACTAGTTCATCTTAGGTATTTGGTTAAAACTATACATAATTATTATGGAAGTCATTAATTTAATACAAGAATATAATTTAAACATTGGCGTATAGTAAAATAGTCCGAAGATAAGATACCAAAGGAATTTTGTTTACTAATTGAGGCTTACTATATTACTTACTTTAAGTTAATTACTTAAAACATTCTATAATTAGCAATTGGGTTTATTTCATGATATTTCACTATTAACTTTATTGATAAGGAGCAAATGCGTGGCAATTTATACATAGTTAAAAATTTGTTTATTTGCAAAAATGGGCTAGAATTTAACTAACATCTGGAGTCTACTTGTCAGGAAATCAATAAAACGATTCCATTTACAACACATCAAGTTACCTGATAAGGTAATGCGTTTAAACATAGTTTACGTAGACTGACTTTGATAAGAATACAGAGATTGTCAATAAATATCCAATATTATTTTAGTTAGGCACCACATTCCAAAAGAATTTTAAAATGAAACTATGACAAAATGATGAACTTTAAATTAAATAAAACTTTACCTCCTGACTAATAGATTTTAGTGATATTTGAATCACATGTTTCACTTTTTGATCATCATTCATTTTAAAAATTTATCACAAATTAATAAATAGAATTCCCAAAAGTTTTAAATGCCATACGGAGAATGCTCAACTTCAACGTGGAACAGTTAAAAGCGTACTGTTAGTAACAAAACTATTAAAAACGTGGAAGGCGCGCTTAAACTTGATAAGATTACCGAAAATGCGGACGTATGTAAAAGTAGTGACGATAATTTTCCAATTTACTTCGTTTAAAATGCACACACAGTTTTATCAGAATTTGTTTAATGGAACATATCGAATTTCGTGATGTTCAACTCTCCAAAAGCAACAAGTGTTACAGTAAATAAATGACGAATTTGTGCGAAACATTGCGTTTATTTTCACATAAAATTTGCCGCTATTTGTTTCGTGTAAAATGAAATGCAACGTGCCAACAATTTGCAATTTATTTGGGAAAATGGGAATTTGGATAATAACGACATTTTAACGCAATTTTATAAAGCATAAACTTGATATAAATTAAAAGAAAATTTGTATTTTATTTGAACATACAGATCTTTCATATTTCCTCACTACATAGGCCAAACTTCGACATAAGTCGGGTTCGCCGCGGCAATATATTACCCACCCCCGCGCCGCTAGCAACAGGTAATTACAAAAGTAAATTAAATATTTGATGGAAAATTGGTCCCAAAATACTTTCATACATATTATATATTCATATTTCTTTATTTTTTAGCCTACTATATTAAAAATAGTAAATTGAATGCATCACCTTTGTAATGCATATAACGTGCAAATAATTGGTAATGGAAGTAATGATCGCTGCATATTTTCCACGATATAATATTAATAATATTGCTATTATATTGTTATATTTCCTACAGTTACCATTGTGGTATAAGGTAAATTTCCTGTCGAAATAGGTACCTAAAATAATTACGATAAAAAAGAAAATTTACCGTTTTTATCGCGCTAATTATCCTGTTGACGTAAAATTGGGTTATTCCGCATATTATTCAATCCATTCATTAAAAATATTGTTAGTATAACAACTATTGTCTCGAGTTATTTCTTAATAAGGCCTGACGTTTCCCATTCAGAGGTTTTTCTTTCTATTTTTCGCATGCTAGCTTGTTTGTTTGTCCATTTGGTAAAGGAAAGTAGGCTACAACTGGCATTCCTTACAGTTCATTTCGAATTAATTGTGTTTTTCATATTATGGTTTACTTAGACATCGCCTGCATTCCTCACTTTTACAGAAATGACAATTTTGTAAGTAGTTAAAAGTAGTCAGGTTGTTTCCCAAAGTACGGTTTCACAGCTTAATGATTATATTACAATGATCAATTAGGTTTATAAGTCCGTTGTTTTTATACTCTATGGAAAAACTGCAAAACGTTCCTTTAGACATGTGTCCTTAAATGCTTAAAATAATTAAAAAGTTACAAGCGAATTAATAAAATACATACATTTTAATAAATCTTTATTAAAACATTTTTATAAAATTTCCATTTTTTTATACATAGAAAAAAAATTATTCTTTAGTGCTTTCATAACCACACTTTTAAATTTTTTGCGACACTTAAAATAAAAAAGTTAAAGGGGGCGACATTATAGGGGATCTCCCTGTACTTTATTCATCATCATATAATATATGATGATGATATATTATAATGACTATAGTTTATCGCCTATTTCTCCAGACCACTAGACTAAAAACATTTTCAGAAAAAAGTTTATAAATAACTTGTTAAACAAAATGCAATTATAAATACTTTTTACAGAAAAGGCTAGAAGCTTGAATGTCATTTGTTTTTGACATTCTAAAATATGATTTGCCTTTTACTAATAAGTTTTGAGATGTTTAATTAAGTACTTACATATTATATTATAAATATTTAAAAAATATAATATAATAATAATTTTTTGAGATTTTTGAAAACCTTTTGCCAGGAAATAGACACAAGTGTTTATTGCTTAATGGCAACAGAATTAAGAATACATATATATATTTCTATTTTGTATTCGTTGGATTATTTTTTGACGTTGGTTTTTTATTTATTTTGTCAAGATAGTACCTTTTTGTTACGTCAAGAAGTCATGTAGAGTTGCTTGAAATGTATATGTATATAATTATTATTAAATATATTATGTTAAATACTTTAGTTAAGGATATTCCTCGAGCGTAGCGAGTGCGGTAACAGTGTTACCGTAACACGCGAGTGGAATCTCGTCTTTTGACCAATAGTCGCACACAATATTTTATTCAACTACCAGAAGGAATTTAAAGCCAATTTTCTGTAATAGTTCAGCTGACATCTGACAGATGTCAAGCAGTTTTAAACTTACTTTTTTCAATTTTAAATCAAAGCTAACTTCAGCCCGTGGGCGAAATAAAATTTCACACCGGCTAAAGTTAAACAATGAAATTTATGTTGAATAAAATAATATTAACGCGACACCATTCAAAACACCACATTAAAATATTTGAGTTCGCAAATTCAAACATATTAAAACTTTATTTCATATTTCCAACCGAAACAAAGGGACGCGAAGTTACCCACAACTATGTATAAACTAATTCAGTTTCGGACAGTTTAAAACAAAGCTTAACATGTGTGAATTCATAATTTGGACGCGACGCATCATTTTCCCGGCGCTTTTCCGGCTGTACAGCGGAAAATTCGATGCCGGAAAAGTTGGTTGCCGACTTGCACACAACATTGCTCGGCAAACGCAATTAACATATAGATGAAATGTCTTATTTCCAATATACCGCCGAACAATTTAAATTTCCCACTCACTGACACCACATCCGCAGTATTAAACAGTAATTAAAACGGAAGTGGAAGCCCATTGAAAGAAACCGCCAGTAATGAGTAGAAGAATGGTTTAAGCATTTTCGTCCCCAATACATTTAATTTGAAGCCTTTTTTATAAAAAATAGTCAATTTTGAACAATAACATATTCTTTCTGGGTAAAATTAATAAATCTGTTTCTCTTAATTCTGTTTATATGTCCGCATTTAATTATAGATTTGACATTTTTTAAATTGATTTAAATTTATAAATTCTATAGATTGCATAGAATCCCAAGTATTTGAATGGATATTAAATATTGTTATCTCACTTTTTTTTGTTAAATTGGAACAGTTGTAATTGGGATATAATATTTGCATTATCTCTATAGGTAAACCACAGACCACCAAAACAAATGGACGGCGCATTGCCATTCAATAACAATGCTTTGTTTGCGGTCAACAAACGGTCACAGTCTAAGCGTCAAATTGGAGATAGAATTTTATGTTTTCTTCCAGTGACGTCAACAAACGGTCACAGTCTAAGCGTTAAATTGGCGATAGATTTTATGTTTTCTTCCAGTGACGTATTGGGATTAAAAAAATAATAAGTAGGTGTACTTACAAACGATATTTTCATGTATTGTTATATTTAGTAAAAAATAATGTATTTAAACTCCATAATTAACTTAAACACGATAGAAATACACAAACGAAAACACAAAAGAACAAGCTGTCAACCCACAGAACATAACCTTTTTCTATGCTGTCAAATATGACGAATTTGCCAACCTTGTTAATATTTAATTTTAATAATTATTAAATGATTTACTTTCTTTAAATAGAGAAAAATATCCAAAGAAAATGATGAACAAATCCTTTTTACAATTTTTTTATTATTCAAACGAATTACTGGTAATTACTAATGTTCATTATGTTATAATGAACGTCCAAAAAGGCGTGTAATCTATACTTCTGAAAACGTTGGAAGCCGTGTTTCTTTCGACGGTGTTTAGAATGTGAAACTATGCTTTACTCGCTTTTTAAACGTAAACAAATCCTTCCATTTGGTTTGGTGGTCTGTGAGGTAAACACATGGAAAATGTGTCGACTAAAATTTATAAGGGTTCAAAAATTGAATTATATTTTTGTTATTTTAATGTCATGAAAATTTGCACAGTGTTATGTTAAAAATGATATTTAGTTATTTATTACTTAAATTGGATTCACGTCGATTCCGTTTGCAAAAAAATTAACATTGCTTAAATGTTAACGTTGATTTATTTTGCAACAGCTCTTAAAAAAACCAAATAATTTGATGGCCCCTATATAAATGTGTATGTTTACGTGTAAAACTAACTTTATTTTAAAATTCCTAGGAATAACGAAGTTATCACGATTTTTGTTTGATTATTTGAGAACCAATGATT